TATGCCACGTGCCCTCAGTTGGTCTGTAATCGGCCGTAGTGCTCTTCTTGCCTGGAGGGTGTGCCAGGATAAATCAGGGTATATCTGGATTTCGTGTCCTTGGTATAATAGTGGCATAGTAGAGTCTCTTAGTGCCCTCAGGATGTCCTCCTTAAGGGTATAGTAGTGGATGCGGCAGATTACGTCACGTGGAGCCTCATTCGTGCTGTTTTTGGGTCGCAGGGATCTATGTGCCCTGTCTAGTAACACTGGGGTGTCCGGGGGGCAGTTCAGTATGAGGTTGAATAAAGTGGTTAGCTGTACCTTTAAGTTTTCTTTTTCTTCCTCTGGTATCCCCCTTATGCGTAAATTGTTCCTTCTGCCCCTGTTATCTATGTCATCCAATGATCTCTGCATCATGGATAAGTACCTTTCTTGTGTTGTGAGTGCTTGGGATAGATCCTGGATTTGTGCCTGACAGGAGCCCCTGTCATCTTCTAAATCCTGTACTCTTCTGCCCACTTGTGTAAGTTCTGAGCCTAGGCCCTCCATTTTAAGTTGGAAGGCAGTTTCCAGTTTACCCAGCATTTGTGCAAGATCTAACCTGGAAGGCAGCGTTTTCAGGATTTCCTTAATGTCCAGGTCTGCAGATGCTGATGAGACTTCTGACTGAGCTGGGCTGGGTGGTTCGGCGTCTGCATGCGTTGCCGCCGGCGCCATGTTGGGATCCCCTGGGACCGCCACGCGGTCGGCATAATCTTTAAATAGTCGGGTAACCGAGCCCGGTTTACCCGCTGGAGGCTTCTCCAGAGGTTGGTGGGGGGTTTGATTTTGCTTTTTATTCCCCATCTCGGGTGTAGCTTGCGATCTCTGCCCTTTGCGCTCGGAGCCTGATCAGTGAGCGGCCATTCAGGTCGGCTGCAGGACACGCCCCCTTCTCTCATTTTCAAGCATGCCATAGGCCTGTAAACATTCCATTGTTACAATAGTTGACTCATGTACTGCCAAAAAGAAAGCATAATGCAATCTTCCCTTACTAAACTAGTTTCATCATTATGTCCTCCCTTGCTCCCTTCTGCCTACCATGACTCTTGCAGCATTCTCCATCCAGTTTTTAAACCCCCAGCATCAAGGCAAAAATCCTCTATCAATTGCATGTGAACTTCCACAATTTAATCTACCCTCCAACCACTCCATTAATACCTGCACTCACTATTTATTTCCCTCACACTTCACCCCCCTTCTCCTCCTACAATCATTCTGCAATTTTCTCCCTGGAATACAAGATCATTGTATAATAAGACTATCTTCAGACTAGACTTTTTCTTAAAGGGATAACATAAGCAAAAAACAACTTTAGTTAATCACTTTGTTTATACAGCCTTAGTCACACCTACCTGCATGTGAGTTACATATCCTTTCTAAACAGTTCCCATAAAGAGAGATCTAATGTTTAAACTTCATTTATTGCATAAAAAATGTAAGTCTGTTTAAAGGGCAACAAAACAACTTTAGCTTAATGTAGCAGTTTTGGTATATAGATCATGCCCTTGCAGTCTCACTGCTCAATTCTATGCCATTAAGGAGTTACATCACTTTGTTTATAAAGCCCTAATAACCTCCCTGCATGTAACTTACACAGCTTTCTTAAGCATTTCTTGTAAAGAGAGATATAATATTTAAACTTCCTTTATTGAAATACTTTATTGTTACATTTATAATTTCTTATCTTCTGCTCTGTTAATAGCCTTATAGACCCTGCAGGAGTTTCCTGTGTATATTTAAAGTACAATTTACAGCAGGGATGGACTGTGCAACCAGGATACCAGGAAATGTCTTGGTGGGCCGGTGTAACTTCGGTCTAGGAGATGACCACGCAGTGGAGTACAAATAAACACACAGAGTGGTGGGGGGAGACACATAAAGAGGCTGGAGGGTGAGAAAGAGACACACAAAGGGGCTTAGAGAGAGAAAGACACACTGATGGGCTTGGGAGAGAAAGATACAAACAGAGAGAGCTTGAGAAAGATCAAGACACACTGAGGGGTGGGGGTCACACAAAGGGGCTTGGGTGGGGGAAAGAGACACACCAAGGCCCTGGGGGGAGAAAGAGACACACAAAAGGGGCTCAGGAGAGACAGAGACACATAGTGTTTTGGAAAAGGGGAAAGGGGAACAACAGACACACAGGAGGGCTAAGGAAGGGGAGAATGAGAAACACGGTGGGGCTTGGGGAGAGAAACACACACAGAGGAGCTTGGAAGAAAAAGAGACACACAGAGGGGCTAAGGAGAGAAAGACACAGAGGAGCTTGGGGAAAAAGACACACAGAGGGGCTGGGGAGAAAGACACACAGATGGGATTGGGGATGAAAGAAACACATAGAGGGGCTTGGGAGAGAAAGACACACTCAGAGGAGCAGGAAGGAAAAAGAGGCACACAAAGGGGCTAAGGGGGAGAATAAGATAGAGACACACAGAGGGGCTGGGGGAGATAAAAAAGACACACATAGAGGCTGAGGGGGAGAAAGAGACACAAAGAGGCTGGGAAAAGTAAGACACACAGAGTGGTTGGGGAGACATACAAAGGGGCTGGGGGAGAGAAAAAGATACACAGAGGGCCTGGGGGTTAGAAAGAAAAAGACACATAAAAGGAACACAGGGGAGAAAGAGACACACAAAGGGGCAGGGGGGAAGAGACACATAGAGGGGCTCTGGAATGAATTAAACCCACAGAGGGCTTGAGAGAGAAAGACACACCCAGAAGAGACACACACAGTGGGGCTTGGGGAAGAAATAGACACAGAAAGGTGGGGGGAGACACACAAAGCAGCCTGGGGGGGGGAGAAAGAGACACAGGGGCCTTGATAGGTAGAAAGAGATACACAAAAGAGGCTAAGGGGCTTAGAAAGGGGAACAAGAGTCACACAGAGGGGATGAAGAAGGGGAACAAGAGACACACAGAGGGGCTGGGGAGAGAGAGACACACACAAATGGGGCTAGGGAAAGAAAGAGACACACACGGGGTAGGGTGAGAGCCTCAAAAGGGGTTGGGGGAAAAAAGAGACACACAGAGGGGCTTGGAAGATTATGCGACACAGAGAGGGATTGAGAAAGGAGAACAAGAGACACACAGAGCAGCTGGGGGCAGAATGAGACACACAGAGGGGCTGGGGGAATAAAGAGACACATAGAAGGTCAAGGTGAGACACACAAAGGGCTTGGGGAGAGAAAGAGACACACAGAGAGACTGGGAGAAAAAATAGACACACAGAGTGGTGGGGGAGACATACAAAAGGGCTGGGGGAGAGAAAGAGACACACATATGGGATTGGGAGAGAAAGAGACACACAGAGGGGCTGGGGAAAGAAAGAGACACAAAGGAGCTTGGGGAGAAAAAGAGACACACAGAGGGGCTTGAAAGATAATAAGACACATATGGGACTGATAGGGAGTGACACACAGAGTTATGGGGGGCAGAAAGAGACAGACAGAGTGGCTGGGGAAGAAAGACACACAGATGGGTGGGGAGAGACACACAAAGGGTCTGAGAGGGATAAAGAAACACACTTGGCTACTGGGGGAGAAAGAGATATACAGACAGGCTGGGGAAAACACACAAAATGGCTTGTGGGGTAGAAAGAGACACACAGGTGCTTGGAAACAATAACCAGAGACACACAGAGGGGCTGGGGAAGGGGAGAGGGGTAAGACAACCAAAAGAGGGGATACAAAATACAAAAGGGGAGGTAAAAAGAAACTCAGGTAAAGATGGGGTTTTTTTTGTAGTGAAGGGGATATGCATCTTTGCCTTTGTTTCCTGCTCTCCCTGTAACTCTGTTCTTCAGCACAGGAATCTATGCAAAGAGGTGATTGACAGGTTAAAAAAAAAAAAAAGATGTCTTATTACTATAGTCACTAGAACCACAACAGTTTAATGTAGTGGTTTTTCTGTCTAGAGCCTGTCCCTGCAGGCTGAACACTGTAAACTTTGACTTTACAGAGAAAAGGCAGTGTTTACGTTGCTGCTTAGGAACACATATAATATCAGGCATTCAGACAACCACTAGAGGTGCTTAAAAGCTCAGCACTGCTTAATATTCAGCACCTACGTTCAGCGACTCCTCGCTTGGTTTTTAATGCATCTCTATGAAGAGACACTGATTGGCACAGCATAACATTTTGCTGTGCATGCGCAATAGCCTTCTGATGCTTTCCCATGGGAAAGTGAATAGCACACTTATAGGACTTAAAAATAAACAGGATAACTTCATTTTTTTACAGCTGTGCAACAGCATACAGTCACAATTTCAGTCCCTTTACCACAATTTGTTGAAGTAGTTGGACTTAAACAATGATTAAATGCAAATGCATGTCTTCTTAAAATAAACCCACTCTTTGTTTATTTTGTCCTATGTCCTATGTTTGCAATGAAGTAGTAGTTTACAATTTTAAGTTATCTTTTCCACCTCTATGCTGGCGTATAGAAACTTTTTTCCTGGGCTGCTTATAGTTCCCAGTCTGGCCCTGGTATACAGAACAGGAGATAACTGTTTCTAAAGCAAGTTAACATCTGTTTGAAAATGAAACCATTTTCTCCATGCAAGCATGCAGTGTGAGTCACAGACAGGGGAGGTGTAGCTGCATGGACAGAAACAAATGTGATTTTACTCCTAGATCCTCCCAGAGGATTTAGAAGTGAGACTGCAGGGGCATACTCTATACACTAAAACTACTTCATTAAGCTAAAATGGTTGTGATGCGCCTCTAGTTTACCTTTAATTTAGAATTTCTTATCTGCTGCTCTATTAATGGTCTGCTAGACACTGCAGTAGCCTTCTGTATGTTAAATAAAGTTCAATTTACAGAGCAGGAGATAAAAACTTCTAGAGTAAGTTCAGTTTTGATTGATAATTAACCATGTTTTGGGGGCAGAGCCTAGCTGTTCAAGCAGACGGTCACATGGCATTATGGGTCGAAAAACAAAAAAATAAAAACCAGATAAGCCCCGAATGAGCATGAATATTTGCAGACCCACGGTACTCCTGGGCACAAGATGACGTCTCTTACTGGAGGCTGTTTAGACTTCTTAGACGGGATGTCAGACGAAGCAAAGGAGGAACATTTGATTTTTATGGTACTTCCACTGCTGACCCGAATGCAGCTTTTACTGCCAGCAACCGACTCCGGTGACAAAAGCAGCTATTAAGGAGCTCCTGTCTGACCTACAACAAAAAAAGAGACCTACGGGGCCTAACTGGCCGACTCGGTGTGTTAGAAGGCACATCCCACAATAATGCACAGTAGATTACAACGCTACAACAAGCAGTCAAAGAGCTGCAATAGCAGAACCAAACCTATAAGCACAGATTTCCTGCCCAGGCGGATAGGCGACACCAGAAACACCTGAAAAGCAAGGGGATCTCAGAGAATATGTGGCATCTGGCAAAGTGTAGGATATCTTAATAATCTTGGGAATTAATTTCCACACTTTGCCAGATGCCTCCTTGGGGCTTTGTTGACGCTGAAACTGGCCAAGGCGGTTACGCTGGATAGAATATATAGAGTTCCAAGACCAGCCAAGGCACCACCTTTAGCCCCACGAGATCTGGTGGTCCAGTTTCAAAACCATGATAAAACCAAGATAAAGCAGCAGTCCTGGCTGCCACCAGGAGGCGATCATCTTATCTTTTTGCAGGAATGTCATTGACCTTCTATACAGACATTTCCAGAGGCACTCTGGTGTGGAGACGATCTTTTCGACCACTTACCTCCCTCCTGTGTGTGCGGACACAACGTACAAAATACACGATCTGCAAGAAGCTGCGATAAATCTACAAAACCTGGGCCTTCCTCTGTTATGTGAAAAATCACTCTGTTCCTATACTCCCTGCTTGAAGCACGCCAAGGCATTGACTGACAGCTAGTTAAAAAATATATTTTAAATAGCTTTTTCTCCCAATCTATACATTTGCTAGCAAAGCTGCTCAATTGAATGAGCATAAATTGGTTGGAGCATGACAGGTCCCCTTCTCCTGATCGCTCTAAAACTATTTATTTATACTTATTTTTTTATTTTTTTTTAAACTAATGTATCATGGGTCTAATTGGTTTAATGATGTGGGAATAAATATGACCTTGTTTGGAGATAATACAAAAATACTGTTAATTGGGAAATTTGGTGTATTTAGGCTTTAGGCGCTGATTTCAATGCCCCCATTTGATATTACACATGTTGTTTCAGCTTGAAAAAGACCTCTCAGAAGGTCAAAACATTGCTGCTTTTTTTGTTTCATTAAATCTGCCTGCGGCTTTAAATATTGAGTGCCTGGAAATTTCCTTTTTTGCTTTAACGTGTTGGGATTGCTGGTCCTGTTCCGGAGTACCAGAAGGCTGCTGGGATTGAGTGCGGTTCCTACAATCATCTTTCCCATGTGCAATCATGGCAGCTGATGCACTGTCCATTCAAAAGCTTCAATTGAGAAGCCTTTGAATGGACCATTTGGCCAGCTCAGAGCGCAAGGGGAGAGGAGGTAGAGTGGGGTGGGAGTTAAAAAATTAAAAAAAAATTTAAGGAAAGAATAGGTAGGTGGGAGGTAGGAGCCTGGTAGGCTCTGATATTAGGTCTGTCACCAGTGTGCAGTCCACGCTGAGAACAGACGTAGAGTATGTCCAGAATTCACCAAATGCTGCTCTCTCTTCCATAAACACAACCCTTTCTTGATGTTCTCTTGATGTTCTGACCATCTGCATCCTGTCTATCCTCGATCCCAACCATCTCAACACTGACTTTAATGGATACTATAGGCATCTAGACTACTTCATTTGATTGAATTGGTCTGGATGCAATGTCCTTGTCCCTTTAATCCAGCAAGTGAAAACCTTGCAGTTTTTGAGAAACTGCATTGTTTACATTGCAGGGTTAAGACTTCCTCTAGTTGCCACTTCCTGGCTTTTCAGGGAGCTTAACTCTGTGAAATTATGTTGGCCATCCTCACACTTTGCAAGAGTGCTTCCAGTGTCTTGAAAATCACCATAGCAAAGCATTAAGTTAATGCTTTCCAAAGGGGAAGGCTAAATGTAGCGCTCACTGCGCATGTGGATTAGCTGGAATCAGGTAAGTGAGTAAAGGTATTTCTAACCATTTATTCATCCAGGGAGGGCATGCGGGCGAAGAGACACCATTGTGTTCCTTTACTAAAAAATCTAGTTTTAAAAATGTAAATTTTGACCGTGTGTGTGTGGGTTTATCTGTATGTCTGCCAATGTGCATGTTTATGTATATGTATGTGTGTCAGTGTGTGTATATGTATATTGTCAGTGTGGGTATCTGTATCTGTATATTGTCAGTATGTATATCTGTGTGTCTGTAAATCTGTATGTATGTTAGTGTGTATCCGCATGTGCCAATATGTATACCTGTGTGTGTGTATCGGCATGTATGTCAGTGTGTGTATTTCTGTGTCAGTGTGTGTCTGTGTTTCTGCATGTGTGCCAGTGTGTGTATAAGTGTGTCTGTCTAGCTGCATGTGTGCCAGTATGTGTACATGTGAGTATGTCTATCTGTATGAGTGTCAGTGTGTGCATCTGACACACAAAAACTGCTCAGTGCTAAATACAACCCTCCGATCATGGTAAAATGGTAGAGCCCCAGCTGTCAAAGCATTGTTGGAATTGTACGACAGATCAGGGTGTACATTTTGGCCACCCTTGAGATAGCTGGGCCCAAAAAAAGATTGCACCAGGGCCTACTCTAGGCTAGTCCCACCAATGTGTAGGATATCTTAATAATCTCGGGAATTAATTTTTCAATTGATAATAGCAAGTGGTCCAGACCCCCAACCAGCAAAGCAGACCCAAATTATGATGCACCCTCCACCATACATAACCGCCAGGATGATGTTTTCAGGTTAGTATTCCGTATTCATGACGCTAAAGACAATTTTAAAATCGACAATTTAATAACATGTAATTAAACAAAATGTTGCCTAACTATTTAAATACCCATGTGAACTTCAAAATATATTTAGAACATCTATTCGTTTAAAGATTGGAATATCAGAACACTGAGGAATTATCCAGAAAGGCTACCTTAACCATTCAATTTCCAAATTCGTTTTTGTCAATCATGTTTTATTGAAGATTTATCATTTGCAATAAAAAGGGATACAGAAACATGGACAAAAAAGAGGTTATATTAGATCATATAACCAACATTATTAAAGGCAGATACATTATCAATTCAGGCAAACAGAGGATACAATATTTATGAAAATGGTGATGGGCCAACAAATCACCCACCTTAAGAAGTATGAATTAGGTAGCAGAAGAGTGTGGAGATGAATTGGAAATTGAAAAGGTATACAAGGATAAAGTTACAATCACAGAGAGGTTTATTAAAATAAAAAAAATAAATAGGTAAATTAGAAATGTGGGATGTAAGATGGCTCTACTTGATGAGAAAGCATGGGTCCTTAGTGGATGCTCCAACATGAACACAAAGTCTAGCTAGGAAAGCCAAGTGGCATCACATTTATCAATCCTATCATACAGAGAATCCAAAAAGGCTTCAATTTGCCTAATTTCCTAATACCAGCAGACGGATGAGAGAGTCTGCACCAAAAAAAGGAAATTGTGGAGTGTAAAACCTAATGGAAAATCAGGAATGTATGTTAAAGTAAGCATCAGATTTGGAATGGAAGTGAATTTATATTTTAATCTGCAAGAAAATAAATAAGTATAAAGCCTATGTGAGGATGTTCAGGCAAAGGACTGCAAGATCCAAGACCGAACTAACCAAATTGCATCCAATAATGAGCCTTAAGACTCCTTCAGGTCCAGATGAATCTAGTGCGTCTTTTAGGGTGTACTGGAAATTACCGTGGATAAACTAGTCACTTTATAATATATGGTGATAGAGGGTAGACCTGCCCTACTGATATATTTTGAGAGGTGTAAGTATCACAGGCAAAAAATTGGAGCTTTCTGGCCTCATATCTATGTACGTATGGCACATATAATGAATAAGAAAAAACACCATGGGGTCGCTATCTGGATTGTCTGTAAAAGATACAGATACAATATCATGTCAAAAATGTTTAATTTTACTGCGTTCACCCGCTAAGCCATGATGGTGGAGATCAGCCCGAAGAGTTCTGAGAAGTGCGAAAAAGTTAGAATTACAAAGGAGGAAGTGGTTTGAGAGGGCACTTCAACCTATTTTAGTCCTTGGCACCTCGTAATGCGTATTTATATTTATTTTGGTTTGGAGGAATTCCAACCATTTCACATTATCTGTATGCTTGTCTCGTAGCTTTGAGAATTACGGCCAATGTTGTGTTATGTTTCCTCGTGACCATGGAAATGCGGTCATAATTCAGACCACATCTATTATATTATGCCAGAATCATTTATTTTTACATGTTTATAGTTTTGGAAAGACTTTATGCTAAATGTATCTACACCTGTTAGTTTGAAATCTATCTAGATATGTTGATTAGTAACCATGGAAATACAGTCAGCTTTGCTTTATGGAAATATTTAAAGATTGCTTATGCAAATTAATTTTTTTTCATACAGTATCTATTTCTGCACAGTTTTTTAATTGCTAAATGTTATAGCAATAATATACACACACGCACACACATACATAAAAATTTTACTTTGTTAAAGCTAAACAATAGCATAACTTAAAAAATAAAGAAAATCCAACATTTAGTTTTTTATGAATTTTTTTCAATTCTGTACTGCAATAGATTGGGTTTAGAGTCAGTGAATATATTTATATACCATTACCCGATGTAGGGTTAAACGTTTTTCATAGAGGATCTCCACTCCTAAATCCTGCCTAACAATGCAAAATAAATAAAGATTAAAAACCACTTCTATTTGTTTTAGTAAATATCAAGGGATAGAACACAGTCACTTGTAACTACTCACTTTCACCACTAGATGTAGCTCATGGAGTGTACAAATTCCTTGTAAGAAGATTATAGAAATGTTTAATATAACAGACATGCTTCATATATTTGGATCCTAATTATAGGCAGTACAATGATTCTAGCCACACCAATCCGGCTCGAAGACCCCAGGGTCTCGGTTATACTTATTAATATGACAACAGTGCATTGTCATATTATTATATACTGTGAAGTTCCCAGTGTATTTGGCTTCAGGAGGAAATTAAAATAAATATAAAAAACCAAGCTGGGGAGAATAGTTTCTCGCTGATTTTACCCATTATTTGGTGATGTAATAACTGAAATAAGGCTGGATGTTAACCAATACTTGAAGGCTGAATTATGTATTTTAATGTTTGTCGTTTCTGCAGAAATGTGGAGTTGGTTTTATGCTGTATACTGTAGTTTAATGCAGATTGAGGGAGTCTCTGTAATATCCTATTGGTGGTACCCCATGTTTTTACGTTGCTCAAATATAGTATTACATGCATGTACATAAGATTTTACAGCAGATGCAGCAGTCCTTGTAGGAGAAAAAATATATAGAATTGGGTCTGGAAATATTTGGACATTGACACAATCTTCATAATTTGGCTCTGTGCACCACCACAATGGATCTGAAATGAAACAACTGAGATGCAATTGAAGTGAAGACTTTCAGCTTTAATTCAAGGGCTTGAACAAAAATATTGTATGAAACATTAGAATTCGTAACCATTTTCATACACAGTCCCTTTAATTCAGGGGCTCAAATGTAATTGAACAAATTAACACAATCATAAATAAAACGTAATAAAAAAAAAAAAAACTTTGTTGAGAATCCTTTGCAGGCAATGTCTGCTTGAAGTCTGGGAAGAGTGTACATCTCCAAACACTGGGTTTCCTCCTCTGTGATGCTTTGCCAGGCCTTTACTGCAGCTGTCTTCAGTTGCTGTTTGTTTGTGGGTCTCTCTGCCTTAAGTTTTGTCTTCAGCAAGTGAAATGCATTCTGGAGTAGCTTGAGATCAGGTGATTGACTCAGACATTGCAAACAAATTCCACTTCTTTGCCTTAAAAAACTTTTGGGTTGCT